GTAATTCATTTTGACTAACAAATAAGATTTGATCGGCTATATATCCATTGATTCGGTATACAACGCCGGAGGGAATACGAGCATCGAATTGTCCGAATTCGGAGCCGGCATAACGATGCCCAGACAATTATGATTCATGATGGCATTTAAGAGCAATACTACGTTAAATTGCACAACGAACCAAACAGCTATTGAGATGTTATCGGAACATATGTCGAGTATTATTTAGTGTTTGATAAACGAGTATAAGAGCTCTTGACTTGCAATCTGCAGGTCCTGGGTTCGAATCCCGCCACGTACCAGTGTGTTTTTCTATTATCGATTTACATATGTACATTTATCCGACGTTCTTACGGTGAAGGAAAACATCGTGATGTAACCTGCACATATCTGAGAAGAAATTCAAAGATATGTGTGAAGTAAACCAACCCGCACTTGGCCAGCGTGGTTGACTATGGCCTAATCACCCTTAACTTTGGGTAGGCTCCGAGCCCCTCGGTGGGGACGTATAGTGAGCTGATCATGATGATGATGATGATGATTTTCTTTATTGTTTTTATAAACATAATTAATGATGTTAGTGTATATTATTAACAATAAAATACAACAGACGAAAAACTTTCAGAATTCAATTGTTTTGGAAAAGAATTAGTGTAAATTTTATAACAAGATTTGAACATAGCATAGAAATGTTCGCATAATTCTGAATCCAGTTTAATGTAATGCCTAGAATAGTTTCATGGGCTTTGATTTATAGTCACGCGATCTCAGTTATCTTGTCCCGTCATTTCCTGGTCCGTTACTAAGTCACGCTTAAAATACATGAGTAATGAAACTGCGCCTACTTTTGACAACAACATCCTTTGACCGCGTTTTTATAAGACTCTGTTAACTAAAAGAGGTCAAAGAACTTTGCTATAAAATATTCTTTATTAATTCTTTGTTATATTATAAAATGAGAGTGTCGGTGGCTCAGGGGTCCAGCACTTGACTTACAATCTGCAGGTCCTGGGTTCGAATCCCGCCATGTACCAATGTGTTTTTCGATTTCCGATTTACATATGTATAATACATTTATCCGACGTTTTTACGATGAAGGAAAACATCGTGATGCAACCTGCACATATCTGAGAAGAAATTCAAAGATATGTGTGAAGTCAACCAACACGCACTTGGCCAGCGTGGTTGACTATGGACTATGGCTGATGCTGATGATGATTGAATAATATTATAAATATAAATGCCTACACGAATGGATGGATAGATTTTGTTAGAAGGTATCTTCAGAACACCTCCTTGGATCCCAATGAAATTTGACGTAGATGTTTAATTTCCATTCCGTGCTTACGGATTCGCGGGCGACACCTCGTCAAAGATAAACTACGTAATTTGTCGTAAACTAAATCCTCTAAATGCTATAAATTTAGAATATTCATCAAGATTCCATAAAACTATTAACTAACACTTAAATTGTATACGTAAATTGAACTCTAACTCATTTGTATAAAGTCGAAGTTCCTTTGTTTATTGTTTACAACATTTGGACGTACATAATCAAATAGGGAATTTAATGCAACCGGCATTATATTGAGTGCCAACTCTAGATTATTGTGCCATAATTGACACCATTATAATACAAGCTCCCATTTGGGAGCTTATCTTAATTGCTGCACGACTGGGAAATGCTATCTAACTGTATCTTATATTTATAGACCAACTAGCTGTTGCCTGCGACTTCGTCCGCTCGTAATGACAAAAACTAAATTAGTAGCCTATATATTTCTTACATACTATGTTCTATATCTATGCCAGATACATTTAGATGTTCTGTAGATACCTTCTAACATCCATCCATCTAAACTTACGCATTTATAATAGTAGTAAGATTATTGAACAAGCCCTAATAGCTTAATGGTTAACGGTACATACCACTGTTGTAGCGTTCATGAGTTTGTATCCCGGCAATCGACTATTATACTAACCACATCCGAACACAAGCTTTTTCAATTTGACCTTGAATAGGTGTACGAGTAAGAAATGCTGCTAAATTAATTATTTAAATCCTGTAATGTTTAAAAAAAAAATCTTGCTATATATCTCCCATTCAAGTTATAAAACTTTTTAAATAAAATAAAAAGTGTTTGACTTTCGTTCTTTTCTCTGAAAAGTCGCGATGTTCTTGTTAAGAAACAAGAACTCGTTAAAAATTTTATAAAACTAAATAAATAAGACATTTCCTATATTTATATTTTATTTATTTACTTCTGTTATAAAAAATGTATTCGAATTTCAAAATATAAAGGTCTACATTTTAACATTATAAATAAAAAACAGTAAAAATTTTAATAAACGGTCAGTAAACCACAGAGAAATATTTAAAAATAAAACTTTTAAACAGTGGAAAAATTATTCTTTTATTAAAAAAGATTATCGTGTAGCAGTTTGGAAATAAGCGACAAAGCTAAAGAGAGCTTACATGCTAATTAAGTACTTAAGTAAACAATTTAACTGAAGGCTAAACCTCGCTTGCAACGGCTGAGTATTTTCCCCGGAGAGCCTTTTATTTAGCGTAATATTCACATTTTGCGTTATGCTTAGGATTTTATAAAAATGTTAAAATTCTTCCCACTATTATGACATAAAAAGAAACCCAACTCTTAACTTTTACGACCGTCTTATTTAGGGGTGATAATTTAAATCTTAATTTCTTATAATTAATTTTATTATTTACTATATACATCCAAGAGATTTACGTAAATCCTTAGTAATACAATTATTTGGATGGATGCATGGATGTTAGTTTGAAGGTATTTCGACAACAGCTCTATGGAACGCTGAAATTTGGCATAGATGTAGAACATACTCTGGAAGAGCACATAGGCTACTAATTAGGTTTTTTAATACCGCGCGTACGATGTCGCGGGTGACAATTAGTGCTAGATAAATTACAACAATGCCTAGTTGTCACCTGAGATTTCGTCTGCAAAAAATGACAAAAATATTTGTGTACTGATTGTTTATGACATTTTATAATAATTCAGTTTAGTAACATTTCCTAGTCTCTGAGAGCGATGGAAAAGTGACACAGAGTATTGGATTAAGTTTGGTAAAACTTCTAATATTTTGAAGCCCATAATCAAAAGCAATTTGTTTAATCATCATCATCAGCTCACTATACGTCCCCACCGAAGGGCTCGGAGCCTACCCTAAGTTAAGGGTGATTAGGCCATAGTCAATCACGCTGGCCAAGTGCGGGTTGGTTGACTTCACACATATCTTTGAATTTCTTCTCAGATATGTGACCGTAAGAACGTCGGATAAATGTACATATGTAAATCGGAAATGGAAAAACACATTGGTACATGGCGGGATTCGAACCCAGGACCTGCAGATTGCAAGTCAAGTGCTTGACCACTGAGCCAATTTACCCTTTGGTTTTACCATTTGTTTAATGATTCAACAGAATCCAGATAATGTACATTTCACGAACAATCCTGGATCGCGTGCTTCAGAGTAATAAATCAATATGTCATTCTTTTATGAAGAATGATTTAGTATTATTCGTGGATATTAATCATTTATTACTAGATTTTAGAGCGTTGGTTCATTGGTTAAGCATTGACTTGTAATTTGCAGAACCTGGGTATAACCCATGTACCAATAATTTTTCGATTTACATATGTACATTTATCCGACGTTTTTATTGTGATGGAAAACTTCGTGATGCAACCTACACATATCTGCGAAGAAAATCAGAGATATGTGTTAAGTCAATTTGCACTGGGTAAGCGTTGACTTTGGCCTAGTCAACCCCTAATTTAGGTAAGTCTCAGAGCCCCTCAGTGGGGGCTAGATTTTAATATACAGTGTAATTATTGGATAAATAAATTGTTTGAATATATCATCAAAAAATCTCCGTCTTTTTAACTACCAAGGTTCGAATAACCTCGAGTCACTATGAGCATTTTGTATTACAATAATATCTACTTACTAATGTACCTTCGAAGCTCATTTCTCATGACATCGGGAACAATTTGTAACATGAGATGGCGCGAAATATTGAGTGTCATCTGTGTGAAGGTAATAGTCCTGCTCGAATGACGGAGTATGTCATACGTCATTGGTCACTGTCACATTTACCACCGTGCCACCTGCATATATCTGAGAAGAAATTCAAAGATATGTGTGAAGTCAACCAACCCGCACTTGGCCAGCGTGGTTGACTATGGCCTAATCACCCTTAACTTAGGGTAGGCTCCGAGCCCCTCGGTGGGGACGTATAGTGAGCTGATGATGATGATGATTCGTACTAAAATACACCGTCATAACATACTTTATTAGCTACTAGCTGTCGCCCACGAATGCGTATGCGTGAAATAAAAAAAAAACAGATTAGTAGTACACGTAGAACATAGTCTGGAAGAACTCCAGACTATGTTCTACCTTTGTACCCATTGATATCCATGCAGCCGTTCTGGAGTTATCTTGTAACAAACATCCATCCATCTAAATATTCGTATTTAAAATATTAGTAACATTGTCGAGGTTACTTAGTATCAATTTATTATAGGTTTAAAAAAAATAACAAGCAAGAAAAACTTGAAACTAATAAACGACTTCTTCTCTTTTGCTTCTAAGTATACTAGTTTTAAGACATAAAAAAGTTTCTTGACAGACGGACGGACAACACAGTGATCCTATAAGGGTTCTGTTTTTTTCCTTTCGAGGTACGGAACCCTAGAAATAGTTTACAGCAGCTAGAAAGACTCGCTAACCGATTATTGTTTCTCACTAAATTTTAATATTACTGAAATTGGTCATAAAAATTTTAAATAACATGATCTTTATATCTTTCATTTGTGTTTTTAAGGTTTTCACTATATTTATTTCACCAAAAAAAATCATGGCAGCATCATATCAAACCTACTTGGTTATTATTAACATCACAAAGGAGGATTATATATTCATAAAAACTAAATTAACTGTCACAATGACATATTGTGTATAAAATAAATAAATAAAACAAGCTGTCTTTGAGATTTAATACTGAAGTTGTGTTAAGCAAATTATTATTTATTAATATGGCTTATGGTAAGAATTAATTAATACAAAATACTCCTTAAAAAGTCTTAGTACCAGGTGAGAATTTTAAAATTAACAATATTAACATTACAGAACCAATTCCCGAACAAATTGGAGATATCAATTTGAATAATTATTATCTTGACCATCAAACTTACAATAAAGCTGTATACGTTCATAAGAAATACTTACCAAAGGGTAAATGTTATAGAAAATATTCAGAAATTTATAACAATTTTACTAAACATGATACATTAGAGAAAACTCAACAGTTTCCTGGACATGATAGCCAAAAAGAATTTAATGAAAAGAGAAAAAATAAAAACTTACACGACGAATCAGTGTTAGCACAAACGGTAAAGTTTGCACAAGATTTAGCCCCGAAAATAATACCTCCAAGTAGAGAGTTTTCTCCTACACCAGTTGTTTACACTATAAAAACGTCTAAGAAATCTGGGAAGAAGATTTCAAAGTGTTCCAGTCCACGAGAAAATGATTTAATGCCTGATATACATAAATCTAAAGATACGAAACATACTAAGAAAGATAAGATACTTGTTACGAAAGAAGAAGTAAGTCAAAGTACACAGGATAATACATCCGATGATTTCCAAACGAATCAAAGCTCCTCACTATCACTTTCCGAAGTCTATGAAAATAAATTGAATAAAACAACACGGAATCAAAGAAAACGTAAACAGGAATATGAATCTAAAATGGATATTTCAAACATCATGGAAGGAATTACTACTGCATTAGATTGTAATAATAATAAAATAAAAATTCACGTAATGAACGAGGAAGAAAGGAATATATTATATGAAAGTATAAGAGATCCGATTGTGAACTCTATTAAAGAATATTTAAATGAAATTAAAAATCCATCAGGAATAGCTGCAGAAATGCAAATTATATCACAAACATTAGCATGTAATATGGAAAAATTGGATTACGCGATACATACACTTGAGAAGATAGAAAGAAAGATCACAGATTATGGTGACAAAAAGACAAGAGTTATCATGTCTCCTAAACCAATATCATCTAAAGCATCAAGATTAGAAGAATTAGCAGAAGATATGCCTGATGATAGAGATTTGCCAGAAGAAGAATACGAAACAGCAGCTTATAAGAAGACAATGGTTAGTAGAAGTGCGGTTGTAGCAATGAGTCCAAATGAATATAGGACAAATAGAATGTCTGATAACAACGATCATGGTGAAAATGGACCAGTACAGGTGAATGTTACATACAGTCAATTGGAATCTAAACAAGAACGCCCTAATAGAATTCCAGCCAGATTTTGCTGGACAGATGGCAACAGAAATAATTAGAAAAGGTTCCATAACTTTTATCTTTGACTTTTGTAGCATACATTTTAGTTTTAAATTTACTAGATTTTTCTGTTAGTTTTATATTTTTTATTGTATGTTATTATTTCGTCTAGATATTATAAATATTATGAATCTAATATAAACAATCACTATTTTATTTCTTATTACAAGATTAAAATGTTATATTGTCTTTTACTTACTCCTTTGTATTTTAAGTCAATTTAGCATTGCTAAACCTACAGGTGAAATCTCAGCGAGATTTTTTATATGATAAAATAGCTGTCGACCGCGACTCAGTGCGCGCGTGATTAAAAAACATTGTAGCTTATGTATTCTTCCCGACTTCTAAGCCAAACAGTATGATCCGTGCAGCCGCTCTGGAGATAACTTCTAACAAACATCCATCTATATATACGCATTTATAATATTAGCAAGATTATTATATTAAAGGGAAATCGTAACTAATAATTATACAAATATATTCATTTCTATGTTTTATTTTACTTTGGTTCCTCATTATCTATGGACAGAGTATATCTGTTTGTTGTTGAGCAAGAGCCGGAATCGGTTACACATTATCACAACGTGTTCTGTTTTTAAACACGATTAGGTGGTCTGTCGTAACCTTTATCTGTAAGTACACATAGTTATAATAGTTCCGTTATTATTCATTATTATACTATGTTTTAATTGCCAGATAATTACTTTTATTTGACAGTTTACAACAATCTAAACTAAGTACGTACGCCATCTTACTATTATGTCTTATTTGTCTTACTAATCTTGCTAATATTTTGCATTTATAATATTAGTAATATGCCAAACTTTAGATGTAATGTTGGGAAGTATATCCAAAACGGCTGCATGGATCTTGATGAAATTTGACATAGATGTAGAACATAGTCTGGAAGAACACATAGACTATTTTTTTTTTAATTCAGCACGGACGAAGACTCAAGCGACAACTAGTTACGTAATAAATCTTTGAGTTCTATTATAAAATTAGTCTGCGATTGTTTAATTTAATAATTAAAGTTTTATGACTTTTTATATCAGAATTGTTTAGAAGAAATATTAGCTTAAACAGCATAGTTCTGTTCTTTCATATTTTCAATTTTGTGTGCTATGTGTGAAGTAGATGAAAAACATTTTATATAAGTGCGTATAGTTTTATAAAAGGCGAAAGCAAATGCAAGAATAAAAATTAAATAAAATTTATAAATTATATTTAGAAATTGAAAAGAAATCATGCAAATAATATATTGTATAGCGATATAATCGAATTATTATTGAATTAACGTATTGTGTGATTCAATTTGTAAGCTATTAGGATTGTTGCAAAGCTGTAGTATTTGTATAATATAGATTGAAACGTTGCAAAGAATATGGCAATCACTCACCAAAGTTTGGGCGGCTGTCTGGTGCTGGAAAAACAGGCCTCAGTCAGTAATGCCAGAAATAAAGGAAGATATCGCGACAAAGAATAATGTAGTGGAAAGATAGTGTAATGTACCTGTCTACCGTATGTGCTGTGTTATAATTTCAACATTATATTATAAGATTTAAAGATCACATTTAAACAAAATGAATGTTTTTATAAACAAAATTTTGTGTCAGTATTTATTCAGTTTTAATATTAAATTTAATTTTTTTACAAGAATTACAAGCGGCAATTATAATATAAAATGAAATTGCTATTCAAATATTAAAGTGAACTATCGCTTAGTTAATTTCACATTAAAATCAATTCATATTTAATAAAAAACAAACAAAATAAAGTAGAAAACCTATTTGAACAATTTAGAAGCGCTTTATCCCGTAATATGGTTCATAAAAGGCGAATTATGTCCCGTTGAAATTGTAGAAGGGTTGCGCAACCGAAGTTATACAGCTATTATTAACTTAAGATCTTGGATTTGATCCAAACTGCAGTGTACAGTGCATCGCACAGATCCAATGACAATATCTAAATGCAAGATGTACGCCTGTTTGCACACTATTCAGTCACTTAGAAGATGGAGAATAGAGCTTTTATCTCGTTCTATAACATCTTTTATCTTGCTCTACGGAGCGGAATCGGGAAAATAATTAAAGATCTTTTGTGAACGACTAAGATTATACCTTTAATGACTTGCCAGAGTACTTGTATAGATATTTATAGCAGTATTTGAAATAACATTTTCAAAAAAATAATAATATATGAATTTACGGATATAAAAACGGCTAAACATTCAAGTATATTCGTCCGGTGGCGGCACCGACTAGTTTTGAGCCCATCGGGGGCCATTTATCAGGGTGAGTGGGACTGGTATTCCGCGTACGGAGACTAGTCGGTGCCGCCACCGAACGAATATACGTGTGTGTTTAGCCGTTTTTATATGAGTTTATTATAATATCTCACGATAGTTTGAATAAATTTATATATGAATTTGTTACTTATTCTTGCATCAATCAAAGGAATCATATTTTAAATGCCATCTAATCTTCTTCGATTTTTTGTATAAGAATTAAACAAACTCTATGGTTGAAACTTGTTGTGTTTTTAATTATAAAAAATATTTAAACGATCACAGTAACGCGGCAAGTTTGTAAAACATGAAAATTACTAAATGAATATGGGTGCCTAGCACGAATATTTGTTACAATATATTTAGTATCGTCATCGACAAAAGTGCAGACTTGCTGCACAAATTATAATATAAATTTAGTAATAAATGAGCCATAACGTATATTAATATCTTATACTATGTTTGACATAATTGACCTTGAAGATTGTTGACCACTGGAGTACAAGGAATATGTGAAAGGTTTTTTTATCCGTAGTTAATTTTAAATTTTTATGTATTTGATATTCCGTTTATTAATACAGTGGTCTGCAGTTATAAAGAATTCTTTTGTTGAAATATTTTATCTATAAATATCATTCTTAAAAGAAAACTGTACACTCTGCAATAATACTTTGTCCCAACACTGAACAAAGCCTTTTGTTTCTCTTTGTCTTATACGCTTTATGTTTTTAGCCCAACTAAAATGTCAGAAATCGGAGGAAATTGTTATTAACTATTAAATTAATGACTGTAGGAAATTAATAATTATTAAAACTTATTAACTTTAGTTATTTAATATAAGGATTGAAACAAGTTGTCGGCTACAGTTTTTCCATCCAAGTATTACGTGGGAACCTTCAAGAGTAGACTGAATAGGCCTTAAACTTAAGCTATGCGCTAAGCTTTCGACCACATCATGACTTAACATCTGGGATCATGGTCAAACGTTAGCTTGTTCAATATAAAATATCATATTTAAGAATCAATTTCTGTTTGATTTCTCTTGGACGTCTCAAGCCAAGCAAACATTTTGCCTTGATACGGTGTATGTAAGGAAGAATGAACCTTAATAAAGTTAAGAGTTAACTTGATTATTGTATTATTTAAGTAACGACGTTTTTGTCATGTTAACTAACAAGTCTCTGTTTTGTTTCTCTACATTTTTAACCCTTAATTCGACGAAATTTTTTGTAGCAAAAAAACTGTTTTTTTTTTTAGTAAAGTTATACGTAATTTTCTCTAAACTAGTTCAGTAGATTTTATTTAATTAGTTGTTCGTGAACACCATCGAATTAAGGGTTAATTCTATTACTATCACGTAAACATTACTGAAATAAAACAAACGAGTTAATGTCTGGTAATGCATACAAGGGCAATGAAACACGTATTTAAAATGTCATAAAAACCCGTATATTTAATCCAAAGCAGTGTCAACACTTAAATATGTTTTACTGCTGTTTTATGCTCGTACGTTTCGTAATAGAGAATTTATTGCAAGCCATTAAAAGCTTTAATACAGGTGCCATTAGGTCTCAATTGAAGCGTAGAAAATACGGCTCAGATTTACATTATTTATGAGTAATATCAAAACGTACGTTTGTATCAAACACTGATGGGTATGTTTTGAATTATGGTGATAACTTTTTAAGTCACATATTTTTGTAATTTTTTTACGTTTGTTTTTTTTTTCTTTATTAACTTCATCTATTTTTAATGGCTTCATATGTTTAGTGAAAAATTATGTATACCATCTCTTTAGTTGGCTTACTGGCCACTAAGATATTTCCCTTTTTAGTTTTTTTTTTATAAGAGACGGGGGCAAACGAGCGGCGGAAACACCGAGGTGATCAACGCACCCATGGACACCTACTACACCAGAGAAACTGCAGATGCGTTGCCGGCCTTTAAGGAAATGGTATGCTCGCTTCTTGAAGCTCCCCAAGTCGTATTGGTTTGAACATACCGCCGAGGACAGAAAATAGTTAAGGAAAAATATACGGGAAAAACAGAAGACAATCGCGCGGGAAGTTAACTATGTAGTCTCGTATTGAGTTTGAATTATTTTAACAACGATTAAACGGATATTGGCTGCCGTACTTTTGTTTTCAATTAATACAAGATTAGTTTTTGATTAATTTTCTTTTATTCTTTTCCAGTTTAACGGTGGAGTACGCGAGACATATGTGTAAATTAAATCTTTAATTCCTCTAATAATCTAAGTGAATTTTTAACTTCCAATGATTCTATTGATTAAAAAAATATATCTTCTGTAATTTAAGATCAGTTTTACATACACAGATTATAAAGAATTTTACATCTTAATACAATCGAGATATACTAACCCACATTTCCTTAAGATGTGATTGGATTTACCATACTCAAACAGCTCTATAAAACCACACTGATATCAGTCTAATTTCGATACACGACAATTAATCTGATAATTTTGTAGGTAAAACAAATACAATTAATGTCTTTTAATCAATAGAGTTGAACCTTAACGAAGGAAGATATATCTCGGTTCGTAACAGAATTAAGTGACTTTCAACGTAGATTAATTGTGTCCATGAAATGCAGGCGTTACTCTGACAAATCGTAGGCAACCATATACCTTTATTGTATATAAACATGTATATAGATGTGGACGATGAAGACATATATAATACTTTATACAAGGTATTTGCTAGCTTGTAGTGGAAACACGAATTTGTTGATCGAAACACAGGTGATTTAATAAAAAAATAATTTATATCTTTAAACAGTAATTGATGAGATTTAATTAAGAATTGCTTTAACGTAGTTATTTAACTTAAGTAGTTAACTTGACTTTGTAACCTCCTTGTATTTTGTAGGTCGCGAATATTGCATAACGACCTATTTATATGACCTAAGTAATATAAAAGCAATTTCAAGTTACCATAATGTATAAATGATACTTTGTATTACAGTTTGTTAAATAAAGTACATAATGGTCACTATTACATAAATATAATAACTACCTATATCGTTGGCTAGAAAATTTAAAAATTATAATTTTTTAACAAGCTGAATTTTATAAAAAAAAATGGGAGATAAACAAAAACAAAAGGGGCATTGACATAAACAAAAAGTAAAGCTCAGTTAACCGGAACACAACCTGTACTAAACAATTCATGCCTTTATAGTGCAATTCCTTTCTACGCTTGCCTGCGTAGACCCAACGTAGCTACATCGTAGCCCGGATGTAGCGCACTCGTAGATGCTGCTACAAAATCTGTAGCACGCGCAACACTAACGATTGTTTGCGGCTTCGCTTACGTAACTTTTAAGTACGTTTTGTTTTAGAATTCCAAAACCTTTTTTAAACAATAGTTTTTTTACCGAAGAGGAGTTTAACAAGTTCTGTTTTCAATTCGTTATTTTGTTTCTATCTGGGTTTTGTTTTTGAGGAAGTTAGCTATTATTTTAATATACTAAAAAGTTTCTAACTTTAGAATTTTGATAGATTTCTTATTGGTATTGTGAACTATCGTGAGCCTATAATCAGGAGTAACTTTAAAAAAAACCCAATCCAATTACTAGTATCCTTCGGTAAACCAATTCGACTTCTAATCGGTACCATAAAACTAGGCGCTATCGGCGAGATCAAAGGGAACGCACGTGATCGAGGCACGCCAGCGTTACGTAAAGCAGGGCGAGTGCAGTCACCATAACAACGCGAGTCAAACAGGACACCTCTCACTTCACGCCGCTCTTCTCATTATAAACAAGTTTACGCTACAATCACAACTATAATATATCATGCAATGTTTGCGACCTAATAATAAGGTTCTATACACGCGCTGCTGATGCTGATGATGATATCGCTTGATCATCAATACTTGAGTCAGTGAAACCAAATATCACTATATTTTATTATCTAATTGTAATAACATTAGTAAATATGATAAATAAAACTTTTATGTGGAAATATTGATCTACTTTCACTATTTAAATTACTAGTTGTATCAAGCAGTCGTTTTAAGTTATTCTAAAAAAATCATTCCTAATTTGACGTAGATTTGGAATCTTCCTAATTTAACAGAACATTAAAATCTATTCTAGTTTGTGGTTTATTAGACCAAATCGACATCAAGGGTAAGGCGACATGCAGGTGTGCGGGCGAGCTTACCGTAGGCATGAGCTGGTCCGTGCTGCGGACTCTGGTCACCTTGTTCTTGTAGATGAGCTTCTTGAGCGCGCGCTCGACCGGCTGATTCCACCGCATGAACATCACGTACGCGCCGTACAGCGAGAACAACACCAGCGCCTCCTGCCAGTAAATCATGCTATCCCGGAAACAGTATATCAACACTAGCAGGCTGATAGAATAGAAGGTACAGTCTCGGAACAGGGGCCACCAGGTGAGCGAGAGAGTTGTGCGCGAGAAGAGCGCGCAAGCACCGATCACGAACAATATGTTAAAGACGGCGGAGCCAACGATCGTCCCGATGCCCACGTCATCGAATGACACGAACACGCCGATGATGGAGGTGAAGAGTTCGGGCGCGGAGCCACCGGCAGCCATGAAGGTGGCGCCCGCAACATCATCGCGGATGGCAAGCCGCTCTATGATAACGTCCAGCGCTGGTACGAAGAACTCATCGCACACTATCGCCAGAGCCACAAACATGTAGCCCATGCCGAGCACGTGCAGCAGCACCGCGCCCGACCGCCGCTGCTCCTCTGTGAAGATGTCTGGGGGGAAGAGGGGTGCCTTCTCCTCCTCCGGTAGGAAGGTGGTGAAGTTGGTGGCGTTGGGCTCGCCGGCCCGCGCCGCCGCCAGCAGCGCGAGCAGCAGCGCGCCTCCCATGCCGCGCTCCCGGGGACTGCCGCCACACTGCCGCCGCGCCGCGCGCCTGTCGCCGCCGCTACACCACTAGCTGCGATTGCGAGCGATTATTCGAGGCAACTTTATCGATTTGAATAATTGCTTGTCTTATAATTTTATTTTAGGTTAATGCAAGTGCCTAATAGTGAGTTTGTAGTAAGATTCTTAAGTTAATTTGCATTCACTAATTATGTGTACTTTCCCTTATGACATTCGTCGTCAAAAAGTAATTTTTACTTCTATTATACAATTTTAGTCCAGATCTATTTCTACACTTCTGATGAATCAAAGTCGATGTTTGTATGTCTTCAATACTCTTTTAAACCACTGAACAAAATTTGATGAATCTTTGGAAAGGTATTCCTAAGATGCAGGGCAATGCAATGCATATACAAAATAAAACGATTAACAAATGCGGCATTCGATACATCGATATCAAGTATGGAAGTCCCTAGTAGCGTCACTCCCCCAGTTGCGGGGAGCCGGGGCGCGTTCGATAGCGTCGCACTGCGTCGCCCCGCCTCACTCCGCCCCGGCCGTCGAGACACACAGATACTACAGATGCGCTCTGCCTCGAACCTAGACCCATCCAACGCGTGCAACCAAACAACGTGGCAATACACACTTAAGTAATAGACGCATACATACTATGAATGAAAACGTACTTATAATTATAACAGAGTGTTATAAAATTGCTTTTTTCCTGGTTGCATTTTTAGGTTAGGAAAATTTTATATTTTCAAAAATTAAAGCGAGGTTATATTTTATTTTTCAACTGAGAAAATTTCAGTCACGTTGCAATCTATTAATAAATGTAAAGTTGTATTTTTTCTGAAAAAAAAAATTGCTAGCAATTTTTTTTTATTTCAAACTCTGTGTAGTGGAAATGATAAAACATCGGGACCGCAAACTCAGTGATTTATACCGAAACATGCCGCGACAGATGCAAATAATTGATAGTGCACGGCGCGCACGGAATTATTTATTGAATGCAACACGACAATAAATAGAAAAATACAGCATCTTACTAATATTATAAATTCGAGTGTTTGGATGTTAGTTAATACCATCTCTGTATCTCCAGAATAGCTCAACGGATTACGATGAAATTCTACATGGATGTAGAACATGGTCTGGGAAAAAAATGGTTTATTATAATAGTTTGTTGCTGTATTTTCCAATTTAATTAGCTATGCAGTTCATGACTAACGACTGACTAAAATTAGGAGTAATCTGTAAATTGCTCCTAATTTTAGTCCTCTACTCTTCCCATTTTTTCTTATAAGGAAACGATAGGAAGGGCAAGCAGATTTGATGAAGGGACGCATACGAAGGGGGAATATCCTTTTCTGTGTTTCTACTTTTCCGCTAAAAACATTTGAAAGTATAAAGTAGATACTTAGACTTTTACATTGTTAATTATCAAGCGATTGTTCCTACAATCTGCAGCCTCGGCGTCTGCCAACTTAACTATTAAATGCAGGAGAGCTTTACTCCTTAATGAAGGGGATACTTGCGTAATTAAAATCACAATTTAATGTTCATATGTTTCATTCCGTTTTACAATATTTTTCAAGAGTATTCTTAGTTCTTTTACAGCTGTTTCAAAGGGAACATAAAACATTAAAATCCGAGATATTTTTAATCCTTTTTTTACAGTTTATAACTAAACTGGTCGGGAATTTAACGACTTACATGATTAATATTATATCCACAATAACTAAAAACATTAATTGGTCGCTAAGAAAGATCTTAACCCTTATTAGCCTAGAGTTTCAATTTTGATACCAATCTTTTAAACCGAATGTTTACATTACTATTAGTTTTTTTTTATAGGTTGGCTGTACCTATTTTACTGTTGTATAATATTCTTTCCAACGATATTAAAAAAAATAATTCATTATTGTTTTATTTTATCAAGAAAACACAGTAATATTAAAAATAAATCACTTTCGTATGTAAATCAGGCTACTAAGGGTTACGTATAGATTTCTCCCAGTAATGAAGACTTAAAGACTGTTGGATAAGTTACCTGATTAGTTGTCAATACATCAGAAGTTATGACAAAAATTGTATATTTACTTTACTTCGGTTAAATTTCCTATAATATTATTTTTAGCGTGTCTCGTAGCGCTGTCATCGCGTCTACACCTGCCGCTTATGTAAGATGGCACGCCGCCAGCTGAAGGCTTTCATGAAAAATTACTTCGCAAAAAACTCTGTTCAAAATTTTTTCCATCAATTTACGTGGCTTATTTGAATTGTAATTCGATCTTCTTTGTGATAGAATCTTTTTAAAATTCGATCCTCTAATTTGGTGGAAAGAGATTTTTTAATGATTAGTGAAATTTCTTTTCATAATTTTAATTGTTTTTACAATAAAAATGACTAGCTTGATATTTAAAATAAGTTCTAATTAAATGATCTCCAGTCGATAAACTTTTGCAATTAGAAATTGCAATATTATAAGTATTAACATAAGGCATTAGTTAAGTTTCAAACATAAGCATCATAGCTTTTACGCCATATTAATTGCAAAATAAGTCAGGAAATTATTATCCTTACGCCCTGTTTTCTGAAACAAAATAAAAAATTATATCGTCATCCCTCATTTTCTTTAATAAAACAGATATACCAATGTGTATTAAACGGGGATTTTGGTCTCAGAAACCCACGGTACGACGTTGAAGTTGACGTTTGCTTTGGAGTTGACGTTAATGTTGACGTTCACGCCATGTTTAGGTGGATGCGTACACCAGTGGGTAAACTACACCTGCGAAGTTACAAATTACGAGTTAGTACAGTTAAAAATTAAATAGACGAAAATGATCCGTCGGCCATCTGCTACTCGCTTTTATTGCCTTGCAGTTTGCAGTGCTCGGGAAAAGTGGCAACACTTTTTCAAAAGGTAATATTTTAATATTAAAAATATTTCAATAACATAAAAAAATTACCTGAGATATGTTGTAAAATTTTGAATATTTTTTTACTTATTATTTTGAAAATAATAAAAATAACTAAAAAATATCTTACCAATATTTTAAGTAAAGAACGCAATGGAAACCATAGACAATTATTTTAGCTCTGTCAAGTCACGCTAATGTCATTGACCCATTTTATCACACGTAGAGTATCTAATTGGATTATATTTAATAAAATTATAAATTGTTAAGTTAACATTCCGTAAATAACTCATAAATTAGTCTCTACGATGTGGCTGGACGAAGTGGATGGTTTTGCAGAGATATTTAAGGGGTATTTACCCTACTATTTGCTTGTTGCTCTGCCTATATTTATTATCATGTCTCCAGTAAATCCAGTGGCAGCATCACACGAATTTTCTGTATATAGAATGCAACAATACGACCTCCACTCCGTACCCCATGGTGAGTGTAAATAATAATTGTTATTCTAATTTATGATTTGTTTAAAATCATCGATCCATAAATTAAGGTTATATTTTTGATCTTACCGAGACCGCCCAATCTCTTATCAAGATTTTCTTATTTACACTGTGATATATTTTATCACTGCATTTCAGGTCATGTTTCAGTCTTTATTTGTAAAAGATTAAAGAAAATTCTATAATATAACCTCCTGTAATGTCAATATTATCGATTTTTGTTTTGAGTTCTTTCGACTTACAAAAATACATAGAGTAATTCATAAGATGTTTATAGATTATTGAATCTTATTGTGGAATCAATCGTATAATAATGATAAAATTAAGATGTAATATATTAAAATATTACAAGAAAAAATGTCCCCTTATTATAAATTTGCTGCCTTTAAGTAGTTGGATCACTATAATTATATTGAGTAATACGGTCCTTTATAATCCTACTAAAGTTTTCCTCATTAATTTATCAGTATTTAATACAAAGCTGTAATACCCTTGTTAGTAGGAAGCCCTATATATTAAAGTCTCTTGACATTATCAATTATCTTAATCTCGTGTGACTCAATGACCATGTAGGTCACAATTTTGTTGCAGTTATTTAATTACATTTGACTGAAGCTAGTAACTTTGTATTAGCAAAATATTAGTAATGTTTTATGCTAAAAAATTGTGGCAAAAGAAATACATACTATGTAACTTACAAAACTAGAAAATTGAAGTAACCTAGTTATTAGATATAGGTGACATATATAAATAAATATTTAAGCTTAATGTGTTATGTATATACTAAGGGGGCATCTCTTGTGGAATCACAGTCCTTATGAGTTGACTTAGCACATTTAGGTCATCGGTTTTGGCCTTCAATAATATCATCAATCATAACATAGGTAGCTAATTAACAATTGGCAGATATCTTTGAGATGTTAAAAGATTTCTTACCTTTGTAGTATATTAAATTTATTAATAGTTAACTTCTTTGCCAGGATGTCGGAGTTCTAGCTTCAACCTGGAAGGCCGTTCGCTGACATCATGGAGCACGGCCCGGCACTGTGTTGTGGCCCGCTTACAGGATATCACAATTGAACAGTTTATGGAGATTAGGAGTAAATCTCCTGCGCTTTTGCTTGTGCTGCCTAAAAATAATACTGAATTGACAGTTGAACAAAAAGAGGTATGTGATATGAAGTTTTTTTTATTTGATATAACATTAATTGATTTGTGATTTCTTTTAATTTAATAGTCATAACAAGCACATGTGTATGCCACAGCCAAAAAGAATGTGAAGCCAATACTTAACTCTTTAAGGAATTTTAGTAAAGTTAAGTGAACATTACTTATTGTGGAGAAAATGTGCAAAGAGATATTTGTAACAAAAAAACCGTAGATTTCTTTTTCTTTGATTGTGAGTTAGGAATGAACCAATGGCTGGCTTGTATCAATATGCATTGGTTATAACTTATTTGACTTCTATTTCATAGGTTCCAAATCTAAGGTTTTTTAACACTTCCTGTGTTAGGAACATCCCATTCAATTTGTCATGTCTTTTTTTCCAGCACATCCAGCTCCTGGAAATGGCGATGATCCAACAAGAAATGTTAGCTCCCGTTTACTTTGCTAAATGGTCTCCTGAGTTTGAGGATATCCTGGATGACCTTCAGCACAGCTTCATAACTGATGACAAATCTGGTACAGCTT